CATGGTACAGATACTACTACACATGTATTTCTTTTCTTTTCATAAACCTTTCCTTTTCTCTCTCAAGTCTTTCTTGATGTTCACTCAAGATTTCAAAAGAGGTAGTATTCATTCATATAACGGTGGGTCTTTTAATCATTTCTTTGAAAATAGTGATCTAGTTGAACATAAGGTTCTTTTCATTTGGATTAATAATTCTGATTTTGTAATTTAGGCGGCAAAACACCTGATCCACAAGCGAAAGGCCGTGGCTATGCAGACATCATGGGAGAAATGGCTCTACGAAATGCGAAGGCGGATACACGCAATCAAATTGCAGACAAACTAAAAGCAGCCGAAGGTCAGAGCGGTGTCGGAGCGAATGGAAATGCAAGTTCAGCCGGGGAAAAACGCCGACGACGATGGGATCAAACAGCACCAGCAGATGATAATGATCCTAAAGCGAAGAAAACTGCCTATGATGAAGCCGTAACACCAGCTCATCGAATGTGGGATGCAACACCAGCTCCCGGCCAGTCATCGTTCGATGAAACACCAATGGCTTCACGTACGCCAGGTGCTGAAACGCCGCATCATTCAGCAACACCGTCAAATAAACGCAATCGATGGGACGAAACACCACGCACCGAACGTGAAACAACGAATTCCGGTTGGGCAGAAACGCCTAGAACGGATCGTGGTGGTATGGATGATTCCGATTACATAATGGGAGCAACTCCTACACCGGGCGATAAACGTCGTTCACGTTGGGACGAAACACCGGCAAATGCAACCACAACAAATGGAGGCGGTTTTACACCATTAGCGAAAGAAATCGGTGTTGCGTCAACTCCTCGTACTGCCAGCGGTTTCACACCAGGCATGACGCCAATCATAGCAACACCTGTCGGCGCACGCGCTGCTAATATGGCTACGCCAATAGTCAATCAAGTTCCAATGACACCGGAGCAGATGCAAGCTTATCGTTGGGAACGTGAAATCGATGAACGTAATCGTCCATTATCAGATGAAGAACTCGATGCTATGTTTCCACCAGGATACAAAGTTTTACCACCACCGGCATCCTATGTACCTATTCGAACACCAGCACGAAAATTAATGGCAACACCCACACCACAATCGACGATGTCTGGTTTTCACATTCAAGAATCGGCTCATGGACAAGCTGCTCAATCGAACCAATTGCAAGAATATCAACCGTCAGGAAATTTACCACTCTTAAAACCAGATGATCTACAATATTTTGATAAACTATTGCAAGAAGTCGATGAAGAAGCTTTGACACCTGAAGAACAGAAAGAACGTAAAATCATGAAACTATTATTAAAAATTAAAAATGGTACACCGCCTATGCGTAAAGCAGCACTACGACAGATCACTGATAAAGCACGTGAATTCGGTGCTGGTCCACTATTTAATCAGATTTTACCATTGTTAATGTCGCCAACATTAGAAGATCAAGAACGTCATTTACTTGTAAAAGTTATCGATCGTATTCTCTATAAACTTGATGATCTTGTTCGTCCCTATGTTCACAAGATATGTGTCGTTATCGAACCATTGTTAATTGATGAAGATTATTATGCACGTGTCGAAGGTCGTGAAATTATATCAAATTTAGCTAAAGCTGCTGGTTTGGCGACTATGATTTCCACAATGCGACCTGATATTGATAACTTAGATGAATATGTACGTAATACAACTGCTCGTGCGTTTGCTGTCGTTGCATCAGCGCTCGGTATTCCAGCTTTATTACCATTTTTGAAAGCTGTTTGTAAAAGTAAAAAATCTTGGCAAGCAAGACATACGGGTATAAAGATCATCCAACAAATCGCTATTCTTCTCGGTTGTGCCATTTTACCACATTTGAAATCTTTGGTGGAAATTATCGAACATGGTAAGAAGATCAATATTTCATTCACTTTTCTTCTCACATGCTTAACGTTTCAATTCTAGGTCTCGTCGATGAACAACAAAAAGTTCGAACAATTACTGCTCTGGGTATCGCGGCTTTGGCAGAAGCAGCTGCACCTTATGGTATCGAATCTTTTGATACTGTACTCAAACCGTTATGGGCTGGTATTAAAGAACATCGTGGCAAAGTAAGTTACCTTGTTGAACTGAAAATGAACATAGTCTACTGTGTGATTTAGGGTCTGGCTGCTTTTCTCAAAGCCATTGGCTATTTGATTCCACTGATGGATGCCGAATATGCTGGTTACTATACCCGTGAAGTGATGCTTATCCTAATCCGTGAATTTCAATCTCCCGATGAAGAAATGAAGAAGATTGTTCTCAAAGTCGTTAAACAATGTACAGCAACGGATGGTGTCGAAGCAAAATATATTAAAGAAGAAGTTCTGCCAGCCTTCTTTCGATACTTCTGGAATCAACGTATGGCGCTCGATCGTCGTAATTATCGGCAGCTAGTCGATACCACTGTCGAAATGGCCAATAAAGTTGGCTCATCAGAAATTATCAATCGTATTGTGGATGATTTAAAGGATGAATCCGAACAATACCGTAAAATGGTTATTGAAACGATCGAAAAGATCATGACAAATCTGGGTTCTGCTGATATCGATTCACGTTTGGAAGAACAATTGATTGATGGTATACTTTACGCTTTTCAAGAACAAACAACCGAAGATGCTGTGATGTTGAATGGATTCGGTGCCGTGGTCAATTCGTTAGGAAAACGTTGTAAAGCATATTTACCTCAAATGTGCGGTACGATTCTCTGGCGTTTGAATAATAAAGCAGCTAAAGTTCGACAACAGGCCGCTGATCTTATCCAGAAAATAGCGAATGTTATGAAACTATGCTCCGAAGAAAAACTAATGGGACAATTAGGCCTTGTCTTATATGAATATCTGGGTGAAGAGTATCCGGAAGTTTTAGGAAGTATTCTTGGAGCATTGAAAGGTAAGAATTAGTCAAAAGTACATATAGAAATCTATTTCGCATATTTTAGGAATTGTGAATGTGATTGGTATGACTAATATGACACCACCGATCAAAGACTTATTACCCCGATTAACACCCATTCTGAAAAACAGGTAGATTTAATTTTGAGAATAAGATAGTTTTGTTTATCGTACATTTTTAGACATGAAAAAGTTCAAGAAAATTGTATTGATCTTGTCGGCCGTATTGCTGAATTAGGTGCCGAACATGTTCCAGCTCGTGAATGGATGCGTATTTGTTTTGAACTACTTGAACTGCTCAAAGCACATAAGAAATCAATTCGTCGTGCTGCTATCAATACATTTGGTTACATCGCTAAAGCTATTGGTCCACATGATGTTCTTGCAACATTATTAAACAATTTGAAAGTCCAAGAACGTCAACTACGTGTTTGTACAACTGTTGCCATTGCTATTGTCTCAGAAACATGTTCACCGTTCACTGTTCTACCCGGTAAATCATCTTATCGTATTCTATTCTTCTCAAATTGTCTTTTCTTCTTTAGGTCTCATGAATGAATATCGGGTGCCGGAATTGAATGTTCAAAATGGTGTTTTGAAAGCACTAGCATTTATGTTCGAATACATTGGCGAGATGTCCAAGGATTACATCTATGCTGTAACACCTTTATTAGAAGATGCAATGATGGACAGAGATTTAGTTCATCGGCAAACCGCGATGACTGCCATTGGACACATGTCACTAGGTGTATTCGGTTTCGGATGTGAAGATGCTTTATGTCATTTATTAAATCATGTTTGGCCAAATATCTTCGAAACAAGTCCTCATGTCATTCAAGCATTCATTTCTGCTATCGAAGGTATACGCGTGGGTCTTGGCCCATGTCGAATTCTGTATTATGCACTACAAGGTCTATTTCATCCTGCTCGTCGTGTACGTGATGTGTACTGGAAAGTTTACAACACGATTTATATCGGTGCACAAGATTCCCTAGTAGCTGCATATCCACGTATTGTAGATGATAGTATTCATTCAACCATCGACGAAGATGAAATACCTCAAAAGCGTACGAAAAAACTGCGCAATGATTATGCTCGATATGAACTTGATTACATTCTTTAAACGAAAAACATGTTTCATCAGTAATCTGTTGTCATTTCATGTCTCTTATTGTTGTTCTCATTTCACTTCCTGTACTCGTATAGGTACGTCTATATTACGTACGGTATACCAAGATGAGACTAAATTCAAGCATAGAATCCAAGAGCACATACGTACGATTCTTTTTTCTTCTTCGATGTATTTACGTTTGTTTTCTCTCTTGTGCTGTTCCTTTGTTCTATCTCTTTGTGTTCGTAATAAACAGCTGAAACTAACTTTTTCAAGAACAAAGAAGAGAAAAATATCGAGTTGAATTGAATGTTCTCAACTGAATGACGAAACTAAATCAAAACTGCGTTGGCGATATGTGCTTAAAGTTTGCAAAGTAAACATATGTTAGCAGAACGAGGTTATCTTAGTCCAAAATGGTGTAATCTAAGTAAACTATTTTTCTATCTATAACTATGAATAACTATAGTTTAAAGATAAATTTATTGAATTATTGTGCTGTAAAGACATTTGATTGTTTATTTACGAAGAAAAGTTGTGCTCTATTTATGTGGTACTTCTTTTTTTTAATCTTAGTTTTGCCTTCTCATCACCTAACGGACATTAGTTAGATAATGAAGAAAGAGAAAGAAATCTGTTGCTGATGTCTTTTCAACTACGGGCGAAAAATGAGCAACAAAGTAAAGAGAAAAAGAGATTCTTAGATAACCATATCTTCTCTGTTGCTGCTCTTTATCTAAAGTTGATGCAAATAAAAGCTAAAGACTATTTGTTTTCTTTTTTATTATTATCATTTACGACTTCGGTGTCTTTCAATGCTATTGCTCTTCTAGTTTCTAGTTAGGAGTTGTAGCAACATAGTGTTTCTTTCGTGCGAAATGATGACAATTAGATTCTTATTATTCACTAGTTTGTATATATTACAATATATCTTTTACACTAATGGGCAAAAGGTACAAACAATGGGTCCTGTTGAGACTTGCGCTGCATCAAGTGCTACTCTTCGTTGTCCAGCTAACTCTGTAATTGTCGTTACAAGTGCTGAGTATGGCGTAGCGCAAATAGCCGGCTCATGTACTTACACAGCTGGTGATTGCGTGGCTGATGCTATGAATGCCATTGTATGTAATACAGATTCTCTCCAATGCAATGTATACGCAACCAAGAAGAAATTATCGGAATGTAATGATCAATACAGCAGTTATCTTCACGTCGAATATGACTGTGTACCGTTACAAATGAACGATCCAGCGAGAGAATACAATGTTTGTCAAAATGGTAGCGAAATAACAACTGATAATGGTATCATCAAATCACCCGGTTATCCATCACAATTTCAATCCACTTCAAAGGAATGTTTTCGTGCCATTCATGTACCTGAGGACAAGACCATTCGTTTATGGTTAAGTGATCTATATATTCCAATGGGAACTGGTTGTCTCAAGGACTATGTTTATGTAGTCGACAGTGTGCAAACGTATAAACATTGTGGTACCAAACGATATGCATATCCATACTTATGTTCATCAACAGTTCTCATTCAATACTATACACTGACTACATCGACGTTTTATCGTGGTTTAAGAATGTACTTTGAAATAGTCGATCGAGTGTCAAATGATCGTTGTCCGAATTCCACTGCAACAATTACACCAGTTGTACCAACAACAACACTTTCAACAACTGTCTCGCCAGATATAACAACAACTGTACCTATTTATGTCATACTTGGTATTGCTTCACCTGTCCGAAGTTTTCAACTTTGCAAAGGTAAACTTGGCTTCAATTTGCAAATCTTAAGAAAGCGATTCGAAACGTTTTTGTGTTTCAGGCGATTCGCATAAAATTGAATGTCCCACCAACTATGTCGTTACTGTGAGGGCAAACATCTTCGGTGTTACTTCATCTGATCAATGTGAAGCTCATGATGCTGCTAGACATTGTGTCGTGGCCACAGAGCCCACCTTCTGGTGTTATCAAAGTTGTACATACACGTACACAGGTAATCGGCCACTTTCCTCGTGCAACAACAAACCTGCCACTTATCAATATGTCGAATATCAATGTATTCCGAGAAATGCTCCAGTTATATCAACTAATACACCATGTCCAACAGATGGGTCGAAAGTTCCAATTAAAGTCGACCGTCGTGGTCGTTTTCAAAGTTACAACTATCCGACGTTTCTGACGATGAATTGTGTCTACCGATTTTCAACAAAACCCGGTGATATTATGCATTTCTATTCAATCGACATCAATCTAAACGATTGGTCAAAAGATTGTAAATCGAATAAAATCTCATTTGTAGAGGATGGTGAGACTGACGGTCCGTCATTTTGCGAAGAAGATCAAACGACTCTGCTTTATTCGACATGTTCGAACGAAATCGACATGCGCTATTCTGTTACTGACGGTAGTATGCTATATTCCGAAGGTGTTGAATTATACATTGAAAGTCAAGCACGTCCATCAGATTGGTCATGTGGCAAACCGGGATCAACCATAACTACTCCACGTCCTTCACCCACAACGCCATTTACTACTCCAACAGCAAAACCCCTAACAAATGAAACAACGATGACCGCTCGAGATGAAATCGAACACGATATTTGCTATACGAAATCATTAACTCACACATGTCCAGCAGGTTATACATTCATGTTCATTGATGCTTTTTATGGTGTTAAAAGTCAATCATCAAACAAATGTGGATTCGTTCAAGGTGACTGTGTGCATGAAACATTATCAGCACTTACACAATGCAAAACCGATGCAGCAAATTGTTACATTTCTTATACAACACAACGTCGACTTGCTCAATGTTTAGATAAATATGCCGACTATCTACATATCACTAGTCAATGCGTTCCTAGCAAATCAGCTGGCGCAACAGCAACCATTCGAACATATGACATTTGTGATACAAACAGTGATATCGCAGACTTTAATGGTATCATAACGAGTCCTGGCTTTCCAACATATAAACAATCCAATGGTATTTGTAAACGATCAATTCTCGGTGTGCCAGATCGAGTTCTCAAAATTTGGATCAATGAAATGGCTACTGCAACTGGTGGACAACGTAACATTGATGGTAAGCATTCTCTTTGATAGTTCTGTATTTTATTCTATTCTTTTGTAGATGAATCAAATGAGCCGAATTTAGTTCTATATAAAACTTATGAAAATGAAAATGTAGTCAAACGCATTGAACAACACCCAGCCATTCGTGACACCTGCGTGGACGATTATTTGATCGTCAATACTCCACATGTTTCTTACGTTTACTGCGGCAAAAGAAAATTAGCCATAATGCCTATTTGTGCATCACGTGTAGATATTCAATACAAAGCTTCGTCTCCACCGAATATTTTCTATAAAGGTTTCAAATTCTATTTCGAATGGGTAGAAAAACCTGTTGAAATTAACTGTGGCGGCAATCCTGGCCTATCAACAACAACACCACTGAATGAACCAGTTCCTCTCTGGGCACAAAATCTGGAACTTTCGCCTATCCTTTCTCACCAAATCTGTCTTGGAAATTCACATACATTACGATGTCCTCGTGGATCGGATTATGTTCTTTCAATCATCGAATCCAATTATGGTGTGACTGGTACAGGCATATGTGAAATCCCATCATCGACGCATTGCCATCAAGAAGCTGCACTCGACTTGACATGTACGCAATCGTGTTACATCGAATACGATCTTCCAAAGCCGTTAACACAATGTGGACTGCAAAATGCTGATTATATTAGCATCGATTATGAGTGTATTCCAACACGTTTACCAGACAATGAGAATCCGATTGATATATGTGCATCGACGTCAACAGATACAATTGCCATGAACACAGGTATGATGATTAGTCCACAGTATCCCAGTCTAGGTGCAGCACGTACGTGTTCGAAACGAATTGAAACATTGCCAAGCAAATTATGGATGGTCTTTGTTGTCGATCTGTTCTTGGAAGGATCGAACGATGCTGGTGACTGTAATGCGGCATCCTTAACAATCAACGATGGAAACGATCGAATTGTTCTTTGCGGTTCACAGCAACCTCAACTTGTTCTTGTCAGTTGCTCGCATATTGTAGATTTTAAGTTTGTTTCAACTCATCAAGCGCTTGGTTATCGTGGTTTCAAAGTTTTCTTTCAAACAGTTGATGTTCCCGATGGTTGGACATGCAAACCCAGTGGCTTCACAACAACAACGCCAAGACCAACAACTCCTCGACCTCCAACTACGATAAGTCTTTTACCTCCTAGCGCTCTCAGTAAGTTTAATCGTAGTTTCGAAGTAAATTCTTCTAATTCTACTCTTTTCAGTTGGTGCTTATGGTGGTACAACGAATGGTACACGTCAATATTGTAAACTTCCATTTACCTATCAGAACAACACGCAAACCGTTTGTTTAAGATCTGATCCACCAACTACTCCACCAAGTCAAGGCATGAAAGGACCGTGGTGTTCGTTAACAAGTAACTTCGATACAGATCGTCAATGGGGTTTTTGTGAACTAGGTATAACTGATTCAACAACTTACGACATATGTCGTGGTCAATCTCAAATTCTTCGATGTCCAGCTGGTTATGTCATTGATATCGTCACTGGTGATTATGCTGCTAAACCTGATGGAAACACTGGTGCTGGCGCTTGTGTATATGATCAAAATGATTGCTTTCAAAGTGATTCACTAACGATTCAAACTGTCTGTGCCGGTAAACCAACATGCACAGCATATCACTTTTCTAAGACTTTAACAGCGTGCCAAAATCGACCAACAGCTTATTTTCATGTTACTTACACATGTATTCCGAATGATATAGCAGAAATTAGTGTTTACAACCTATGTAACAGTGGCACATTACCAACTGCTGATGTGGAACGTGGATTTCTCATTTCACCAAATTTTCCTAATACGCAAAACAATTTCAATTGTGCGTTTGAACTGAAAACAGTTAAACCACGTCAGGACATCTATGTCTACATTGTCGATATGGATTTGAACAGTCAGCCTATACTTGGACAAGGATGTCTAAAAGACCGATTGATCGTTTCAGCTGATAATAATATCATGGAAATGTGCGGCCGATCAGCGACAAACTTCTTACTGAATACATGTCATTCATCCGTAACATTTCAATTGATTCGAGCAGGTGATGCAAAAGGTCGTGGTGTGAAATTCTATTTCGAATTCCGTGATCGATCACCCGATGAAACATGTCCAATTTTATATTCAACAACTACACGTGCATCAACAACATCAGTATCGCCACAGACAACGACTACAGCACCGCTGCCAAGTTACTTTCCCGATCCAAGTCCCCGTGATTTCAAAACTTTATGCTTTCCAGATGTTTCGTCCTTATTTGGTACAAAGAATTTTCAATGTCCCAAAGATTACGTTCTGGTCATCCTTCGAGCATTTTACGGCAAAGGTGGCCGATGTGCTTACACACCCGGTGATTGTACATCAGAAGCTGACATCGTCTATCGTACATGTGCAGGTAAACAAGCATGTTCCGTTCCGTTTATCAACCTTGTCACTCTGAACGAATGTAACAAAGCAACGGCTAACTATCTTTTTGTTGAATACCAATGTCTACCAACACCGTCAATTGCTGTGTCAAGTTCAGAGCTATGCTCGGGTCAATTAAGTACTATTACTGGAACTTCTGGTGTCCTACAAAGTCCATCATACCCAACGTACTTTCAAACAACTTGTCCTAATGTGACCTTAAGTTCAGATTCAAGTAGTCTTGTCGTATACATGTATTTGCTTGATATGAGTGTGGCTCAGCCTGATCTAAGTACTGGCGCCTGCACTAATGACTATCTATCATTATCTTATCAATGTAACAATCAGTTATTCAGCGTCAATTTATGCGGCACACGTCAAACCGAATTACTATTTAGTACATGTTCACCAACTGATAAAATCTTCGCTTCATATTCGTTACTCAATTCCGACCTAACATCATATCGTGGTTTTGCTTTATTGTATCAACTCGTACCACAATCTGCTGCGATCACGACTACTACAACACTAAAACCTGCATCAACGTCAACGACAACAACGGCTATTATTGGACCTGGTTCAGTAAGTACACCGAATCAAATAGTAACAACATGTGTTCAACAGTCTATTACATTACGCTGTCCCCAGAACTACGGTGTTATTGTTCATAAAGTTGAACTTGGTGTAAGTGCAACTGGTAGTTGTATTTATTCGAATACAGATTGTTTCGAAGATCGCAGTAATCTATACAATCTTTGCGGCGGAAAACCTTTATGTAACATATTTCCACCACTTATTTCACTAAAAGGATGCAACAATTCCAAATCAAACTATCTATATGCTGAATATCAATGCATACCATTACGACCAAAATTCAATGTTGATGTATGCGCATCAGCAGCACCTCAAAAAATCGACGGTGGTATAATTGTTTCTTCGGTTAACTACACAGCAACATATAAACAATGTGGTATGCAATTACAATCCTCGAAATTATTGGGTAATCAAGCTCATAAAGCATTCCGAATTTACGTTGTCACATTGAATTTACCATTACGAGCAATGATTCGTGAACAAGGTGCACAATGTAGCGATGATGATCCATTCGTCGAAATCAATGATCCTGAGTCGGGTGTCACACGTCTATGTGGTAATAGTCACACACGATACCTGCTAGAAACATGTTCAGATACAGTCAGCATTCGATTCAATAATGTTCAAATGAACACAGGTACGGCAAAATATAAAGGTTTCGAAATATATTTTGAATCAATTGAAAACGAAAAATGTCGTCCACCAACAACACCGCCAGTTCCAACCGCTCCATTTATGATTCAACCCGTTACTGCTTGCGGTTTAGCTAACGGACGTGAACGTGTTAGTTTCAGTTGCACACCTGGCTTCGGTCTTACCTTCTTACAATCGTACCAGTACGTTACAAGCCGACCTGATCAATGTGATGCTACGCAAAATACATGTTTCTTCCCGAGTGAACAACCTGGAGCACAGTGTGCCGGTCAAGAGTCGTGTTCATACACTCATACCATGTCGACAGTACCAACATCAAGTCTCTGCACTACTGCGCCAGCCGATGCAACCAAATTTTATTATCAATGTATACCAATGAGACCAACACCAGAATATAGAACTTATACATTGTGTACTGATACAGTAGCAACAGAAACCATGGGATTTATTCAAACAACAGGTTTTCCTCGTACTTACCAATATGGTGTTCAAAAATGTGCCTTACGTATTAAATTGCCAGATGCAGCTAGTGGTACGAAATACTCGGTGTATCTTTATGTAATCGAAATCTCCTTACGTGACGGATCATTCATCAGTCCAGACTCGACTGGCGAATGTACTGATTCAATTAAATATTCTACTGGTACTACAGAATATCAACTATGCGGAAAGATCGATCAACCATCATTAGAATTCGATTCCAATCAACAAGATGTGAACATATCGATAGATATTCCAACGCCATTAAGTGAAAGTCAATGGAATGAATGGCAAGGTGCACGATTATTCTATATAATCGGACGTCAAGATTTACCATCTCCACCACTGGTACCAATAGTCACTTCGACAACAACTCGATCACCTGATACGACAACATCAGAACCTACTGTTACTGAAACTTCAAAACCGTCCAAACATGGCTCTCACGGTGGTCTCATTGCCGGTATTATTATTGGCGTGTTAGTTGTTCTGGGAGGTATAGGTGGTTTTCTTTATTATCGTCGTCATGTGGCATTGCGAAATAGTCAATCGCCTACAGTTAGTTACGGTTCTGGTGCAATAACAATGGATGATCCATTGAAGAATGGCAAGTCTGGCAAACAAACAAGTAGTGTTCCAACTGGTTCATTGAAAGGAACACTGAAAATTGTTAGTCCCTTTTATCAAGCATCAACTGCGACAGAAAAAGAAGATCCCGATGAAATAACAGACGCTTAGTACTATGTTTGAATTTTCCTTTTTCTTTTAAACAGTTTTTTTTTTGGTTGCAAACATTGAACTCATCAGTAATTGAAATAAAATAATAACTATTACACTTTCTCTCTCATGCATGTCCTTTGCTCACATTCAAATGCATTGAATTTTCTTTTACAATATAGAAGAACAATCAAACATGGAAATTTCTTCATTTTTCATTCGCCGAGTATGTCTTGATTGTATCCAGAGATGAACATATGCAAATCGACTCCTCTGTACATTCAATCAGTACGTCAAAGAAAAAGAAAGTTTCGCCATTCCGAAAATCTTTATTTTGAAATCAAGTTAAAGAAGACAATAATAAAAAATGACTTTCAATGTAACACACACGAGAAAACAGCAGAAACGTTAATTATATTGAAATAATTTTCTAATGCCTTTTCTTGTTTCATTATGACATACTCTACTTGATTAATGTGAATTTTGCCAGTTCAATACAGGTTTTGACGACAACGAACAAATAGACAATCCATGTCCGACTTATCAGCAAAACCTGCATTTATGGCTTATGTGTTTTCTCATTTGGTCGGTCGATGAGACTGGCATATGAATGTGCAGGAATAGTTTGTTCAGTTGGTATTTGATGATTACTTACTCTCGCTATTCAGCTGTTGAATTTGCTTCTTCTTTTTTTTTTTTGAAGAATATTCTTCATGTCGTTGATGATTGTAGGAAGTTATTACATTTTGTTTTAAATAGGAAAAAATTTTTCCATATGCGATATTGCATCACGTCGAAGAAGAGAAAAATGAGAGAAGAAAAACTTCTACATAGGCACTCATTCATTTGTTTTTCTTTAAATTCGGTCAGATTACAATACATTACGAACGTGTGATTTTAGTCAATAAAATTAACACTTACTTATCTTCATCGTCTCATCGACTAGTGTGAGCTGAAGAAGAAAAAAAAAGAAACGACTCAGATTTATACTCGATATGTCTCCAGTTATATATAACACATTTAATCGCAGAAGAACATTTGATTTCTCTAGAGTTATTCTCAAGTAATCGCGTATTAGTCTGATATTTCTATGTGTATAGAACAAGAAAGAATATACCGCTTTGAATTCTAACTAAGCAAAGTGATAGGTAGTCTAATAGGAGAGTGTAAGAGTGGGTCTTTAGGGAATCGTCGTTTGTCGTTCGTCTTAAACATAAAAATGAGTTTCCGTTTCTTCTATTTCTACTTGTTCTTCTCTCTATGTCTACCTCTCTCTCTCTCTCTCGTCGTCTTACATACTCGATTCTTCACGCATTGTAACTGAAGTTTTAACACTTTAAGATAGTAATAACACAAAAAAAATGAGAAAAAAGAAAGTTTCTGCTTGATAGACTTGCCCGTTTCTTTCTTGTCGATGATTGTAGTAATGCTTGAATGGCATAAACAGGTTTTTTTTTGTGACCACCGCTTTTAACATATTCGCTCCTTATATATAGATGAGCGGTTGTAACATTGAATAAACTTTAATTTCTTTTTCTCCTAATTGAACAAACCTAATCAAATCTGTCTACATACAGGTCTTTTCTTCTCTTTTGTCTAATGGCGATAATGTTCGATGTGCATATTGACATTTGACAAACACACAGGCGAATTGTATATAGATATGCTAGCATAATGAAGGTGTATTATCGAAGTTTTTTTTTCTTGATTGAATATGTATCTTTTATTTGCTGTCGAAGAGAGAGAGAAAGAATGAAATGAAATTTTCGTTGGACAATATTTGCATGATGAATAAAGTTTGATCAAGAGACAAGAGAATGATGAATTCATTTGAATTTTGTTGATTTTTTTCTTCGTTCTACACTGATAAAAGAATTATTTGATAGGCACACACACACTTTCTTGTCTTGTCATCTATTTGCAAAACAAATATCCACTCAGAGATCACAAATTTCATCAGTGAAAAAGTATCGCAGCTTGCGTCTTAGGTTAAATTGATGTTCATCGTGCGTATGAAACGATGATTATGTAAATCTCAAACGGTTGTAATATTAGTCAGAAAGTTTTCAGTCAATTATTCTCTGGATACTCGGAATATTCCATTTGAGAAGAGTGAAGAGGAAACAGAAATAAGTCGCATATGGTCATTGTACAATGAGTTCAATAAATAAAGGTGTATCAAGTAAAAATTAGGATTAATATGGCAGATATACCATCAAAATGAATGTTAGCTGCAAGTGTGTGAAAGAATTTTTTGTTTGTATGACACCATGGCCTGTGATGACGATTGTTGCAACGAAAACGACGTTGATCATAGTTGGATGCACAGGGAAAAGAGAATGGACGAAGAGCTGTCATTTCAAAATAGAGTTTTATTTAAATTTGATAGAAGCATGAGAAGAAGATTTCTGTCAAAGTTTTAGAGAGATGGCGGTAAATCATTTTGGATGCCATGAAACATATTTCGAAGGGTTTTCTGAAGAATCACCAAGGACTTGGTGAGAATCATTGTTAGACTGATGATGAAATAATTCTCCTTCTTCTCACAAAATCGAAATTGACTTTTAGTTCAAAATATACTAATATAAAATGATTCATGATGAAATTCACTGACAATAAAGTTCAATCTCACTCCAATAGATTGAAAATGGTTTCAAATCATGCATCACATCCTTCCCGTTCAACAAGATGTAAATTATACAAAAATAGTTTTTATTGTATTTGTTCGATGATGGTTTGATGTACGACATTCCGTATTTACACACATTTATCAAATTGATGACACGGTTAGAACGAATGAACACTTCATCTTGGTCCAGGTTCTAAAATCAAGAATTAGCTGGTTAATCTGTGAGCAAATTTGATTAATTATTGACGTCATGATTTAGTTCAGATAATACGTTATATTGACTCAAACTCAATGCCATCCTATGTCGCCTCGTTTTTAACGACTGGAACGTAATTCGATTGTAGTAGAACACATTCTTTTCATTTTAAGAACTGTACCGTAATTACTCACGTTAATAACGAAGAAGAACCGAATACGTAGTGCAACGTATGTGTTATTCCCTGTATTAAAAAAAAAGCATATGCAGAATGAGTTGAAGTTCGTTTGTTTTCGCGAAAAAGATTTGTTATACCATACATTTTGATAGCTGCTGCTCAAGAAATTCGAAGAAGTGGTATGAGCTAAAGTTTATTTTGCCTTGTACGCTGACACACGTCATAACTCTTGATAGGATTTCAACGGAAGTATATTGTGAAAAACTGTGCATGCCATTGCAATTCTACTTTTTTTTAACTACGCACACATCGATTGGACAAACAGTATTCTAAATATATGAAGACATATGGTAGACGAAGATGATCTTTTCACGGCAGATCACAAAATAAAACTTTTTCCTTAGTTTCTTTTGACAATCACATAGATGGAAGAGAGAACGAAGGAAAATGTAGATGTTCATTTTGAGAGTTAACCAAAAACGAAAGGCACGGTGAATGTCGCCGTTCGCTTCAAAGTATTCTATAGAGCAAATTGAATATGAGTTAAAGATTGAGACAAATCATCGAACAATTGAATTAATGAATTGGAACGATTTTTATTTCCGTTTTTTAAGAAACACAAAGAATCTGGTGATATCCTTTCATTAGAAGATTAGCGGCTACTGTGCCGTGTTAATTGGTTTACAAGCTGAAAGACTTGGACAACATTCGCCAAATGGAACTGGAGCACGTGAACCATCAGGACAAATTTTAACATCCATAGTACACATAACATTGGCACAATTCGAAATAGCTGTAGAAAGATTTGCAAAACAAAGTTGAGAATATTCGTGAACTATCGATATTAGCTAACATACGTGCGAGAATGCTGAGTAAATCTTTGCAAGCAAGGGCAGTTGGACAACAGCTCCAAGCAGGCGTTGGGGCCGGTGTGCCATCTGCACAAACTGCATTGCTAGCACATAGAACAGTCATACAGTTTGGTTTAAACGCTATCAATAGATGTATACACATATTTGTTTCTATCCATATTCGAGTATTTAACTTACGTAAAACAGCAGCGTGGGCAACAGCAAGAGCGAGAAGTAGGCAGAGAACAGATTTCATGTTTGTAGTCTAAACAAAAGTTCCGATTTAGTCTGATGTGAATCTCTTCCAAATCACTCTCCTACCTATACACGGATACAAAGTGAATGCGGGAAAACTTCAAAAAACGAATATATATATATATACGGATCCGTTACTTAGGGGTGTGAATCTTGGTACCAGATGATAAGATTCTCATCCATTTATCTCGGTACAATCGTATTGATTAATAAAATTTGTGAGGACATAAAGAAATGTTTTCTCTTCGACATACGCCTACGTGCTATTTTTAGTCAGTTCGAAATCAATGAAGATCTTTCATTTCAATGTATTTTTTAAAACAGCAAAGTTTATTAGCATGTTCTTATTGTCACTTAAATACTTTTTCAAGATCCAATCTGCACATTCGAAAATTTTCAGTCGATACGAATCAATCAACGTCAACTAGCGACATGTACTACCAATTTTTCGGTTATACATTCATAATAAAGATTCTGATTTTGAAATCACAATTTTCCGCCATATAATTTCGTATTGAATTGATATTTCTATCTGATGTATAGCGACATCAAATGAGTCATCAAAAAACAAAATAAATATTAACCAATCTGAAGAGTTGCCCCACTGAAATAACTAACTACAATCGAATAGATCCTCACTTTTCATGTTTTGTTATTACGAAATAGCGAAGATTAATAAGTTCAGAATTTTCACTGTTCTGTGCTATTTCTATTCTAGATACGTTAACTATCGATTTCATTGAATCATGGCGGATCAATGGCAAGATAGTAGAATATCGAGAGCTCAAGTGCAAGACGATGACGATGATATTCCCGATGATTGGGAGGATGAACCTCAAGAAAAAGTTCGTTGATAAGAGATTATTCTTTACTTGACTTGGCTTGTTTTTCTAGCCGAAAAAGCCCGAAATTGACGACAAACCTAAAGCACCGACGAAGGCTCCACCCACAACAAAGAATAAAATTGGTAAGAAAAAGTATGCTGGTGATGATCGCGCGAGTGATGAAGAATTCCGGGAATCTCTAAGAGAACCAAATCGACAATATACAGCTGAAGAATTGGAAGAATTTGACAAACGTTCTGAATTGCGTAAAGAAGAATTAAAATTGAACATGGCATCAGACTTTATTGGTGCAGGCGGTGAACAGAATTCATTAGATAATATCAATTTAGTAACAGAAGAAGAATTTCGTGATTACAGTTTTCGTCTATACAATCGTCTAAATCTTTTGTCGAAATCGGAACATTATCCAGAATTTCTCGATCATTTACTGCAAGGTTTATCACAATCGATGTCACTCGACAATGTGAAGCGTATGTCAAAGACTGTACAAGGTATTTTACTCGAAAAGCAAAAAGAACGTGAGAAAAACAAGCCCGGCTCGAAAAAAACGCTGAAACCTCAGGTGAACGATGATCGAAGGGCTGTATACGATTCTTTTCTCGGTGACGGCATCAGCGCTGGTACTGTTGATGCTGAATATGACGAAGACAATGATTTTATGTAAACTTGTTGAGCGAATTTAAGAAAATGTCGGTTAGAAAAATGATTACAAAAATCAAATAAAACATTCATTCATTTTTCCTAAATAAAATTCTTTTTTTTTCTAAAACACAAACTAGTAGGATCGTACTACTCCATTTCATTGATTTTTGCAATGCGATATTATGTTAATGTTCGTAGAAATCCAGTAAAATAGAAAAGCAAGAAAGAGAATACAATATTGTCAACAGTGTGACTGTATGCTTGCCTATTTGCTTGCTTCGTTATGACATGGTACGTCACTGAGGAGGCACACTGACCGAAAAAGTAACATGGCGACTTCGACAACAGTGATTATTGATGAAATAGAGAGATATAATTTGCTTCATTCAATCATATTTTTTCATGATCATAACTTGATATTTGATGAAATTAGTTCTCGAGTTCAATTGTGTGTCAGCGTTCCTTGCGAGAAAACAACTTCTTGTACACGTCTTATCTGCGATTGTAATCATTTGCCCATGTATATACAAATCATCATCATCACCATCATTCATTGGATAGATGTGTACATTTGTATACGTATGTATGTGCTTGAATGATTTCTACAATTCGGAATAGTTTGTGTGTCATTGAGAGAATGTTTTAATCGTGATTATGGTTCATTTTTCGAGCTTTCTTTGTTGAATTTTCGTGCGCATGACTTTGTTCATCGTTTTTAATGAGCTCTCGACTCCTGGCGATGAACCGATCCTTGGTGTGTTGAATAATGATAGAAAATCTTCTTATTTCTTTTGAATCTTTCAAGTACAATATCCCAGGTCGACGGCAGATGTCGTCATCCAATCTAGAGGATGAAAAAAAAGACGAGACGATAACGTTCTACACTGAACAAGAGTCGTTCTATCCAAACACCTGACAAACAAATTAGAATGTTTTTTTTTCTTCTGCGGAGATCGTAAACCTTATTTGTTTTACAGATCGTATCTTAAATAACACAAAATCATGTCAATGAATATGTTCATTGGTTAAGCAACGTTGATATTCAAGATCGTCCTTGAACTTTCATCCTTCAACTTCTTCTTCTTCTTCTGTTTTCGTTCATTCTCAAATGCTCAATTATCATCAGTATTTTTATCAACATGAGTTTCACTTTACGGTCAACATCCAATTCTTCTATTGATAACGAACGTCTGACACGGGCGCGTCAAGCCGCCGCAACGGCAGCAGCAGCAGAAACAACAACAACAACAACATTGAACCGATTTTTATCATTCAACGAAAATCAATCGTCATCAGCGGAAAATCGCCGTCGACTATTACACGTAAATATCATCCAGCAAATTCTTTCGCGCCATCTAAATATTCATAAAATATCTCTATTTCTAGTCTACACCAAATTTAATTGAACTACTCGAAGACGAAGACGACGATATTGACGATAATCAAGCACTATGTCACGAATGTGATACGTGTTCCAAAGTCTTTGCAAGTGAATACGGACTTAATCATCATACGAACATGCATCATCCGAATCAATCGATACTTTGTGCACTTTGTAATATCACATTTCGTTCGCATCGTTCGTTGAAAACACATAAGCAAAGACGACATTCAACTATACGAACAAAACTAACTGCAAATCAACTGTCAACACCGGATTATAGCTATATATCATCATATCTTGTTCTGCCTTTTTCGTCGAAGCAATTTCCACAAATGGCTCGACGAGCTTGTGAACAACAACATCTACCTTTGGGAAGTTTCTCATCGAAATTGTATCAATGTTATTTCTGCTCGATATCATTTCCGTGTTCACGTACATTAAGCTCACATTTATTAGACCAACATGAACAATACGAATACAAAACTTGTCAAGAGATTCTTTCGGATCTAACGATTCAAATCGAATACGACTTAAGAACAGTACATGACAATAACGATGACGAATTCGAAACCATGAAATTGGATTTAGCTAAACAAGCACCATATTTTGGTCTTATCAACAAACAACTAGGTAAAAAATATCAAGAAAATAAAGCTATTCAACATCAGCGAATATACCCACGATGTCCACATACAAGTCGAACGTGTGCTAATTTATGTTTACAATATCTTTCGTCGTATAGTAAATTAATTAAAAACTATCCTTATGCCATACCGATTGTACCAAAAGGAAATCCATTCGCACAAGGTTCTATCTTATCGCCTATGAACTCGACGAGTTATTCGAATGGATCGTTATCGTTATCTGGTAACGATTCAAATCAAACTAACGAGTTAGGTAACAGTCGACAAAAACGAAAAAATGGTAAACAAATGGATGCATCACCATCATCGCCTCAGTTAAAGAGAAAGTCAATAGGAAATTCAAAAAATAAGGTCACTGTAGGTAAACAACCAGCTGAGAGCGCAACAAAGGTAGACTAGTTCGATAGAAACGCCAAACTTTATTCTTGTTAATATTTTACATTATGTAGACAAATGAAACAAAATATGTTGCTGTCGATCACACAACAAATTCAGTGACTGGATCAGCTTCCACAGCTGTAACAAAAAGAATCTTGCCAAAAAATGATTACAGTGAGTGGAAAAAAAAGAGATTCAGAACCAATGAATGAATTTTTATTATTTTAGCTCGTTCTTCGTCAATATCAAGTAATTCATCGACATCAACGCGATCATCGACAAATTTAGCTCAACAGATAAGTATTTCTTCTCCACGTATGTCCAAACGTCGTCTGTCACCGCCCGTCGTCATATCATTGAGCAAATCTTCTCAGAAGCGTCGTCGTTCACGTGAACAGCAACTTGCATCATCGAAATCCGAAACAAAAGTCATCCGTATTGACGATGATGATGATAATGAAAACGAACTTGAACAGGAAAACGGTGAAGACAACGACAACGATTCAAACGATGATGTTATACCAATAACATTCGAGAAATCAAGTAAACAACGTTCTGGCAAGCATCGACAAACTTCTAGTGAATCAGTTGAATACGTACAAATGCTAGATGACGATCAACAATCGACAGCATCGTTGAACAATATTGAAAATATCAAATCGCAAGGCAAAATAAACGATGAAGAAATTATCATATGTCGTTCACCACCAACTGCTCGAAAAATGATACCTTCGTCAAATGCAGCTCATTCGAAAACAACCGTGAACGGTCATAGTGCAAAAAAGTCCAATAGACAACAGGTAAACTTGATTCGAGCGCATTTTCTTGTCATATCTCTCGCGATTGTTCTAGTCGTCTCCAAATGACGAACATGTTCGAGTTCGTTGTAAAATTTGTGGTGATATTCTCGAAGGTCGAAGTCGTTTTTCGAAACATGTGATAGCAATGCACTCACATCTCTTGGACAAGAATATGTCGAATCCTCAACAGCAACAAACTGCTATAGTTCGATGATTATTAATAATAATAATTGAAAAGCAACAATTGTATCTTTAATCTGTATAAATTCGTTCGTGCGAGAGAGAGTAGATTAGCGTTTTTGTTTGGTTTTCGTTTTCTTCAGGGCTATTTGTCAGAAATAGATTGTTCTTGGAGAAATAATAAACAATGAATCATTTCTTCGAAGATGCCTATTTCCTTGTCAAAAAAGAAAAAGTGCTTCAGATTGTTTTTTCATTATCTCTTGTATTTGCTCGATTTTGTTTGTTTTTTTTTCCTCTCGCTTTCTTTCTTTCGGTGTACGTTTGTGTGTCTCTTAATAAAACAACAGAGTGCGTGAAATGAAACTAACTTGATTATTATTATTATTACTTTTCATTTGTATATTGTAGGAAAAGAAACATGAGTGACCGAGATTATCTACCATTATCCGCAACGTTAGTGAAGACATTGACGGATAAGTTATATGAAAAACGGAAAACAGCGGCATTGGAAATTGAAAAGTGAGGTGATGATTAGTCATGACATTCGTGTGAATGTTTTTTGATTTAGAATGGTACGAGAGTTGATCGCTACGCAAAATTTTGAACAAATCGAACGGATTTGTAAGATCTTAAGTGAACATTTTGTCCTATCGCAAAATGGAAACTTTCGTCGGGGAGGTTTAATTGGCATTGCAGCATTGGCGATTGCTTGTGGAAAGGTTGATTTTCTTCCTTTCATTCTATTTTGATAAATTTTGCTTACGATTAGGAAGCACAAAGGTTTCGACAATACCTTGTACCACCTGTTCTGCAATGTTTTCTGGACAATGATCCAAAAGTGCGATATTATGCATGTGAATCCTTATACAACATTGCTAAAGTGCTTCGGACAGTGACACTATCGTATTTTAATGAAATCTTTGATTGTCTATCGAAAGTGAGATTTAAATATTGATAAATGTCAAGGTTTTCATTCTCTCGTTTGTAGCTCGTTTGTGATCTTGAACCAACTGTTAAAAGTGGCGCTGAGCTCTGGTAATGTCACTCTGCTTTTTCTTCAAACCGAAAAATAATTCTCTTTTTTTTCCTGGGGTTTAGTGATCGTCTATTGAAAGATATTGTTATTGAAACATGTACTCAATTTGAAGTCATTGCTTTTATTCCACTTCTTCGTGAACGTATTTACGTTCGTAATGCATTTACTCGACAATTCATTGTTTCTTGGGTATGAGACGAGAGAAAACCTATCAATATCAATCGATGCTGATTTTCTTTAGGTTTCACTACTTACATCTGTACCGGAATTCGATATGGTGCAATATCTGCCTGAAATTATGGATGGTCTATTCCATATTTTAGGCGATCCAAATCCAGAAATTCGCAAATCGTAATTTGTTCTTGTTGGCAATGTTTCGGATGAGTGTTGATTTGATCTTGTTTAGATGTGAAATCTTGTTTAGTGAATTTTTAACCATTCTCAAATCATCTCAAGTACAACCGGAGATGTTCGAAGATATGACACGAATTTTGATTCAAAATTGTCAATCATCGGGTAAGTCTTTTCTCGAATCAGTCGGAATCTTTGAGTTGAAGAGAAATCGATGAATAAAGCCGAGTTGAATATTCCTTAGGAGGAGCTGTGCCACTTTTTTCAATGATCAAGCCAGATGGTAAAACAAAAAAGTTCATCTTCTTCATCTTCTTAGTCTATTCGTTGAATATAGTTAACGCTTGCATAGAATAAAATATCTTTATGATATTCTATAACTAAATCTTCTTCAGAAAGTACTCGCAATGTCAATATCTTCTGCAATTTTTTTTATATTCATCTTTATTTCAGACGAATTAATACAATATACTGGTTTACATTGGTTACGAGAATTTCTTAATATGCCCAAATGTCATCAAGTACTTCTACCACATTCTGCTGGCTTATTATCAGCTGTACTTCCATGTTTTTCATACGATGATGATGGCCGACAAAATATCCTTTTCTATTTTAATTCTCTTCTTTTTCTTTGTCCTAGTTGTTCTTTTGAAAACATTTTCCTTAACCATCTTCAACACACATTCGAGAGACTGCCAAAGAGATCAATTCCATTCTTCGTCAATTGATTAAACACGAGAGTACAAAACCGAATGACAGCAATATTGCACCAAGGTCTGAACTGCATGGACAGATGATCATTTGTAAACTTTGTTTTTTAGTGTACCCGATTTAACAATCACGAAAATGGTTGAAGTACTCAAGAATCAAATACAATCGGGCGCTTCGGCATCGCGTATCATCGCATTAGGGTGGATACACCATCTATTCGATTGTTTACAAGATAAAGTAAGTTTTCCTCGAAATATTTTTCTATTCAATGAAATTTTTCTAGATGGTTACACATATTGACGTTTTATTTCCAACATTATTCCGTGTCTTGAACGATTCATCGGATGAGGTAAATATATGAACATAAATCATCTTCTTCTCGCTTTCCTATTTCTCAACTAACTAATCCGAGTGAGTCTTTTTCCAGACAAACAATTATCCTACTAAGGTAACTTTGAAATTTCTATTGATTCGCATGTTTTTCAATCGATAGTAATCACACTACACGTTTTTTTCAAGCTATTTACGCTAAACAGTATCAAACTTTATCTCATTCATTCTTTGCACATAGTCTCCATCGATAGTTAATTTTACCTATTCACCATTATCGAGAAAGAAATCTAGTAAACAGCAACATCAATACACGACTGAAGTAAGCGAATGTGAACAAATCTATCGAATGATTCGCCCAAAGATGCTTTCATTTTGGGATGGGCAATGATTTAGCTGTTTAAACTCTTAATCTGATTTGCTTGAACCATTCTTACTGCTCAACTAAACATTGATATTGCATCTATCCTTCTTCTCTTTAGGCTGTTCTACTAGTCCTCCAAGTTTTTGCATTGATTTCAACATCAAATCGGACGAGTACAGATAGAAACTATAATGATTATTTCACGAAGTTTATTATCGTATTGATGGATTTATTTCGTACAGATCGAGCATTATTAGAAGCTCGAGGCTCGTTCATAATCAGGTTTGAACATATATTTCGGTTCAACGTATTCTTAACGTTATACATGTCTGTCTTCTTTTAGACAACTATGCATGCTTTTATCGCCGGAAGATATCTATAAAACATTATCGGAAACATTAGCCAATGAACCTGATTCGAATTTTGCTTCGATCATGGTGAAAATTCTTAGTTCGATATTGTTAACGTCGACGGAATTACACGATCTACGACTTAAATTAAAAAATTTATATTCAACTGAAAGTGCTGACTTGTTTGTTTGTCTCTATAAAACATGGTGTCACAATCCAATCGCACTGATCGCATTATGTTTCTTGTCACAAAATTATGATCATGCATGTCGACTTGTACAATTATTGTAAATCACTGTTTCATTTTGAAATGTCACCCTTAAGTTCTCTTGTCTTTTTCTAGTGCGGAAATTGAAGTTACTGTGGATTTCTTGATTGAAATTGATAAACTTGTTCAATTGCTTGAATCACCCATATTTACATGTAAAAATAACAAAGAATGTTTCTTTTGTAATTCTGAAAATATGTGTTCCTGTCGATTTAGATCTTCGTTTAGCGTTATTAGATGTCGAGAATAATCAAACGTTAATCCGTGCATTATGTGGTTTATTAATGCTATTACCCGGTAAAACTGATGCGTTTCACATACTCCGGAGACGTTTAGAATGTGTACCAAACTTCATCGATAAATTTACCTCAATCGACAAGCGCATATCTAAGTAAAACATTCCCTGATGCATCTTTCAATCGTATTTTGTTTGTTTGTTTTTTAGTTTGAAATTAGATACAAACCATAGGGAAGGGACGAGTGATTCAAGTAAAACAATCAATTTTGATGAATTGCAACAGTACTATTTATCTGTTCAAAACAAGCATGTTGAAGCGAAAAAACAAAGATATCGCTACGCACCCAATACTTCAGATGGTTGATTTAGGATAATATTCTTGCGTTTGTCTCCAAATTCGATTACTAAATGACATTTTTTTTTGTATGATTATTTTCTTTTTTCGTTTTTTTATCGCCTATTTATGATTCCGTTGATATTGTTTCATTAAAATGATTTCGTATTATTCATAACGATGAATTGAAAAATAGTTATCCTTATATTGAAGTAAACTGTAATACTGAATTGCGGCGAACATCTAGCGACACCTATTGCCTTATTCCTATTGGAAGTTTTCCTTTCGAATGACTGATATAAATCCGAGCAAGCAAAGCACGAGGCAACTGTTCGCAGTCACATTTAAATGTTTAGTATAAGAAGTAGATATTGATTATCGATCATTCATTTTCAGATAAGATTATGACGACAACGACTTCGACTCCGAAATCTCCCTTACCGCAGTTTGCTTGTCAAGTGTGCGGGAATTTTCTCCAACAAGATTCTTCACTAGACACAATCGACGATCACATTGTTAAACCAACTGGTAAAAAGAAGTTCAAATCGAATTTCATAAAATGACAAAAACTCTTTTACTTATAGCATCTAGTACGACGATGTGTGATGAATCGTACAATGAATTGCAACAAGCTGGTGTATGTAAAACATTGATTATATTTCGCCTATCTGGTTTTTTTTTCTTGTTTAGTCCGACGGCACGATTGTTCTCCGTAAAACATTAGGCCGAAAACGATTGTAAGTTTAATGAAACATCATTCCTACGATGAATTTCGGTTTTCTTTCTTTTGTTAGATCACAAAGCAGTCTTGATAGTACAAATAGTTTTGCATTTGTTGCGCCTGATTTAAGCAAAGATCCTGAACACAAATCTAGTCGGGAATATCGTAATGAGATCAATGTAAGGTTAACAATCGATCTCCTCTCTCTTTCTTTCTAACTTGCTCTCTGTTTAGATGCACGAAAAGTTCTATGATTTTCTCTCAGAACAATATACATTTGATCATCCTCTGTGTCAAGTAAGGCCGAATTTCGCAAGAATAGAACAAAGCGTTTCAATCCGACTGTTTAGGAATGCACTGATACACTTTTGGATAAATTAGATGTTGATCTACAGATGGCATCCCATGAATTACAAAGCTATCAGTACGATTGATTGGAAAATAATGTTTTTTTTGTTTGAGAAACGTTCGTTCATTGCATAGGAAATTACTTGAACAGCTGAATTCCATGACGAATGTTCAACCTGAAGATTACGCCAAGCTAAATCAAGACTTAGTCGATGTAAGATGGAATGCATCTTATTTCTGATGGTGTTTTTATTCTTTTTTTTTCGAATTTCTAGTTAGATGAAGAAGAAAAACGATTGAAAGACGAACTAGCAGCCTTAGAAAAAGAAAATGAACGAATTCAGGAAGAATCAGAACAACTGACAGAAGAAGAACGAAAATTGGAAGCTGAAGAAACTAAGTAAGCAATTTGCAGTCGAATAGATCCCATGTGTCTACTTGATTATCCTTAGATTCCTACGAGAATATAATGAACAGAAGCGTTTATTATACGAAGCCGAAGATGAGCAGAAAAGGTTCGAGTTTTACATGAAACTTCTTGATTATTGTCAAGTTTCATTTCAGTATCGATAATCAAACCAAGCATGCTCGTGCTCAATATGATAAACTGAGTAAAACGAATGCATTCAATGCTGCATTTCACATATGGTTCGTTGTCTACATTTGACTTCTCATAAATTCTATAGATACACTCATAGGCATCAAGAACATTTCGGTACTATCAATGGTTTTCGTCTTGGTCGTTTACCAAGTATCACAGTAAGATTTACTCGATAATCCTTACTTGAATTACTCATATTATTCATATCTAGGTTGAATGGTCAGAAATCAATGCCGGTCTTGGTCAAGCTGCCCTATTGTTGAATTCTTTAGCGAAACGAATAGATCTTCGATTCAACAAGTAAGACTATTCTGCAATTGAATCATTCAACAAACTTTGTTTTCTTGTGAAAAGATACAGAATAGTTCCCTTAGGAAGTTATTCCTATATTGAACAATTGAGTGACCTGAAAAATTTAAAACCTGTACAATTGCCACTTTATACTGCTCGACGATCTTTCATCAATTGGGACACGCAGTAAACTCGTTTGTCTTTCCTTGGAAAAATCTGAATTTTTTTAATTAGATTTGATACAGCGTTGGTCGCATTTCTCGACTGTGTGAATCAAGTATGGATTTTAGTTTGGGAATCAGTGTATTCCTATTCGATTCTCGTTCTAGTTCAAATCGGCGATTGAAACGAAGAATCAACGGTTTTGTTTACCATATAAAATGACCGAGAAGGGCGATGGTTTCATCATGGATAGCAACGGTAATCAATTCAATGTCAAGTGAATAACCAACGAAAGTTTATCAGCATTTATTGACCGCCTTTTATAGTAGATCTCGAGCGAACTCAGAAGAACAGTGGACAAAAGCATTGAAATACATGTTAACAAATTTGAAATGGGGTAAGTGAAGATGATTAGTATCGAATGTTTACATCGAATTTTCTATATAGGATTAACATGGATAACGAGTCAACTACCTGATGATATGACATTAGCAAATACAGTTCCAACTCCAGCGGTTTCGTCGCCAAGCTAGAGCAAAGTGTCTTCATTTCCATACGTGTTTTTCTTTTCTATATTTATTTTATTTATTGTATATGATTTTCTTTCGTGTTTATTATCATTCAATCGTGGAAAGATGATGCAGAGCTTTTATATTCAAAAAGAAAACAATGATTTTTGCCTTTTTAAGATCACAAATATGTTCATATCCAAAGATATACTTTTGAAAAGTCTCTTCAATTGTAAATCTTTGACGGTCAATGTTCAGCGTACATTTGCTCTCTCAGCAGTTCATTTTCGAAGACGTATTAAACATCCAACCTATCAGTATTTTCCATATCAAAAATATGATAGTTCGAATCCACTTCCGCATCGAGACCGAGTCCCTGTTTGGAGGTAAAATCTTCGAAATGTTGCCTTTTGTCTCTAACAAAAACACTTTTCCCATTGCAGTCGATTACAATTAACAACAAAAATGGCGAGCGAACACAAACCCGGTGGTCATAAACTTTGGCATGCAATGTACATGGCTCGTAAGTTCGTAGTAACATTATCCAACGTTGCCTACGTCGTATTCTAGACCGCGGTGTTCAAATGCCTGGATATTTCGATCATCAGACCGGTAAATTTGTGTATGTTGATGATATGGAGCCCGAATTAGTTGTACCTGATCTCACTGATTTTAAGGTAGGCCTTATTCTTCTGAATCTCTTCTTTTTCTGGAAGTCATGTGTTTAGTTGAAACCATATGTTTCGTATAATGTAACGGAGATTACACAAGGTCAATTTCTAGCGCGTGATTTATTCAATGCAACGTATGCAAAATCGATAGCGGATGAATTTAAGAGTGGACAAATCAAAGCAACTGATGATGATACTGAAGAAGCAACGGAAAAAAACTGATTCTTCATTTTCAGTCAAATAGAAAAATAAATGTTTTTAGGATGAGTTTTGTGGTACAAAGTCTTTTGCGAATTGTTCAAGTAACGGAAGGATTTGCTTGCGAGATGCTTGGGCATTGTTTTGCTCGAATAATTTGAGACGGGCTTGATTTATAGGTATTCCGCGTTCACGTAAATCAAGGTTGTGTTCGCTACGTTGAATATACTCATTGATTGGAAGCATATTTTCAAATTTCTTCGCATAGAAACCTAATTGACGTTTGGGCTGGTCATCGTTGGTTTCAAGTGAGAGTATAACAACTCCATCAGCATTGTCGTTGTTGGATAAAAACTCGTCTAAGTCCTTCATTGTATGCAATTGTCCAATCAGTTTCTAGCAGAATGAAAAGAATCTCCGATGAAATGACATTTGAGTGAGATATTCTTACTTCGACGGTATAATCTGATGGTAGACTAGAGACGGCAAGACGAATGTTAGGTCCGACAACTTGTTTAACATCTTTTTGTAATAAATCTTGAACCGACATGCCTAATTTCGAATGAATCGTTACGTTCGAATGTTGATGAAAAACTTTTATATGAATTACCTGTAGTATCACCAGCACACTTTCTCAACGTTTTATATAGATCTGAATCGTCTGTTCTTATTGTGCGGCGTGTGAATAATTGTTCGTAAACTTGCTTATCTTTTGGCGTAGTTTTACCAGCGCTCGGTGAGAAATTGAGAGTGTCGAATAGAATAGGACCTTCGAATGAATCAGAGATAAAACTTTTCTTTATCTTTCTTCTTGTTGTTTTTCTTTCCTTTATTTCCCATTCGTTTACCTGTTAACAAATAAGCGATTTCATTTGTTATTTGAAAACGGTTTGACGCAAGGAGTTTTTCACCGATCAAGGTGCAGCACGAACCAACTGGTTCGATTTTAATTTTTGAGTAACTAGAATGAATGAAATGATGAATGAATCTTTACGAGTTGTCATTACTCTTTCAAGATAATCGAATTTTCTTTGACTTGATGATGGTCGATAATCTCTACGACCTCTTCATTCAGCTTCGAATGTAGAGAATGATGATCAACAAGTACGATTTCAAGTTTTCCTTTCTCCGATAAATCATTAAGATTGATGTCATCGATAAAAATCAGATTCGATCGATTTTCTTCGAGAAACCAGAGAACTTCATGACGTAAACGAAAGACAAACGCATGCGTATTCAACACAGGCAGATGAAGGATTTCATTTGGAGTTTCACAAATCTATGAAATTCAACAAATTCATTTTGTATGATTTATTCTTGCATAATACACCTACGCTATGTAGAAAATATGCATAAACACATGCACTAATGGTCGAATCCAGATCGCAAGCTTCATTTCCCAGAACGATCCGGATTAATCGATATTGGTCCAAATTTGCCTGATTTATGAAAAGAAAACAACTCTCACATTATGTCAGATAGTTTACAACACTGAACAGGTAACTAATGTAATTCGATTTACATGAAACTGGAGAATCTGTCTATTATCCTACCAGCTGAGATTTAGCATATTGTAGATACTTGGAAATATCCGTCATTTATCTGTTATTGCAACGCAGGAGTTTTTCGAGAGTGCTTCTCTGGTAGTGCGGAATTTTCCTATGATTCAACTTGATGCACGTCAACTGTTTTCCCTTTCCCTTTGCCTTTCTTTTCTGCCCGATTTCGATTCGTCAACAATAAAGCTATAGAGGTCAATATGCACACTTTTTCAATATGGTCATCACACTGTGATTCACATAGACGGTACATACTTCTTTGTTTTTCACAACAGGCAAACATTATCTACGATTGATGCTTACACGCTTTTCGTTTTATTGAATTCGCATTGATTATTGTGAGTCGTTCCCATCTGATATACCAAGTATAAATAGTATTGCACTGTATTTTATTCGCTTATTATATTGAAAAATATGGCGAATCTTACCCCAGATCGAGATTCTCTTCCCATACACTGGCGGAATAAGAAAAAACCAACTTCAATCGATTTCTTCGTCTTGAAGTTGCGAATTTATCTCAACAGCGAAATAAAACCATGTGAGAAAACATCCGTGAAGTTTTAGATTGACGCCATTTTTTCTATCACGATATTAATACAAACAACAACGACAGCTGACTGAAATGGCTAGTTCGGATAAACTTAGTCTTGGTCTCGATGATCTGATTCGCTTAGATCGCTCATCAAAGCGAGGTGGCCGTGGTGGTGGTGGTAATCGAGGATTTCGCGGACGTGCTAGTGGTGGTCGTGGAGGCGGTGCTGGCAATGGATTTCGAACTCGTGGCGGCGGTGGAATGGTAAGCTTGAATTTATCATATTCAACTGATGTTCACTGGTGTGTGTGTGTGTCTGTGGTTTAGCCTCGCACATCGAATGCAACAGCCGGTACCCGTTGGAAACACGATCTATACACAAATAAGTCAAATGGAAATCGAGTTGAACAACGAACTGCTGGTGTGAACAGCACAACCAAGTTACTCATTTCAAATCTCGATTTCGGTGTTACTACAAATGATATTCAGGTGAGCAATTCATATATAAATTGATTGTATGCAATTCTATATCTTTCTAGGAGTTATTTGGAGATGTTGGCGCTGTCCGTGTGGCACGTGTTCATTACGACGAAAGTGGCCGATCTCTAGGCACCGCTGAAGTTGTATTTGAGCGCCGTGTTGACGCGATTGCTGCTCAAAAGAAATACAATACTTTGAATCTTGATGGTAATTCTTGGCCAATAAATCCATTCACCACAAAAATAATCTCATTTAGGTCGCCCAATGGACATCAGAATAGTAGGCGGCACTGATACTGGCTCCAGACTACAAACGAACCGTTTTACATCAGCTAACGGCGGCGGTGGCGGTGCTCGAAATCAACGATCTGGCATTCGTGGACGCGGCAATCGTTCGCAACAAAATGGTACAAGTGGAAAGAAGGAAGCCGTTTCTGCCGAAGATCTTGATGCTGAACTTGACGCCTACCGCGCCGAAAGTAAACAAAAAAAACAAGAAGAATAATGGTTTTATCGTTCGCTACTGTCCAACTCTAACTGTTATTGTTTTCTTTTATGTTGTATATGAAACTATTCAATTTCTATGTACACAAATACCAAAACAACATTCGATTTTGTTTTCATTGTATTTGGTCGATACTAACAATTGTATTCGTCCTTCTTTTGTCTGTTTTGTTTTTCGATATTAATTTGTACCTGTGTGTGCTCTTTGTATGATTACTGTGTGAGTTGAACCGGTTGTTTAAACTAGACATATGAAGAAAATATATGCGATCAACTGATTACAGCATCAAATTCAAAATTTCTTCCGACGTAAATAATGATCCTAAAAGTACAGTTCTATTCAATACAGACAATAGAACCAGTTCTTGAAATCGAACATAGAGAATCACTTGCAGATATTCATCGGTGTCAACAACGATTCTTGCCGTTCCATCTCCGTAGTGTTTCAATTCCGGATCCACATAAATCATTTTTCTGTCATGCTCACAGCGAAATTGAACACCACTCACATTGGATACTAGATGAAAATTTTGCGTGTTATTCGATACACACAAATGTGTGTGCCAATTGTAGAAACTTAAATCTGTCGTCAATGGTACAAGTTTATTTTTTCCTAGGAAAATTGAAGTGAAATCTTCTGATTTCAATCGATGTGCATAATCTACATATGCCGAGATTTCCTGACCAAGATGATTTCGATCACGTATGAAAATAATCGTTAGTAGACGTGTTGTTCGATTTGCTTCTTCACGTACAGCAAGTTCTTTAGCAAATGGATTGATCACAGTCAGTGCATCACTGAGAATAGCAATTGGACCTTGTCGACGTGAGTGAAGAATCATTTCAGCACGATGTTTACGTTCTTGAAAATCTTTTCGAGATATACCATGACCAACACCACGGTAACCTAATTCAACAAACTCTCGTGCAATGTCAGTATCCTAAACATTCTCCAGATGTATTCGAATGATCGTGATGCTGTCTAAACATGTTACTTGTAAGTAATATTGATCAATTTCGGATATTTGACTATCGAGAAATGCTTCATACGCTACAAATCAAATGAAACTTATGTTCTCATTGTACTTTATCGAACAAAACAAAGAGAAGTATACTGGTAAATTCAGTGACAAAGTCAGCCATTGCATTTTGATCATCATCGATATTCACTTGCTGAAACGGTTGCTTTGACTAGATCACATCAAAGTAATTTATCACAAAAATCATGAATACTAACACTCACATCTTCAGACATGGATGAATGTTCGCGCTTTTTCTTTCATATGCCGTCTGATTTGATTGGTAAAATCCACTATCGATCGTAATATAGGTTAATATCTCATATCTCCTTGTACCGACGAATGTAATTCCCTACTTTGAACTTCTAAACGGTTTTTTATCGTAATACGCAATTATTCCACTATTATCAGAATTGTTTATTTCTGTTTCTACGATCATTATGTGATATTTTTACTAAACGACAATTTTCCGACTTAATTATTCATAATTTCTTTGTCAACCCTCACGTCTTCAGTAATTTTCATTGAATTTGTTTTACTTATTGTTCAAACACGAACTAGTCTTTTCCATTTTATTATGATACCAATGATATATACAAAGTATCTACTTGTTAAACATGACTGAGTAGTTTTCATCTTAATTAGTGACAATGTCTGCGAAAATAAAACAGCTGTGTGACTCGAAGAATTCAACGGACAAAGCGCAGAACATGTACTACATAATCCGTAGGTTACAATGATGTGTATTTTCGATGTGAGATATCTATTCTACTCTATGTATGTGTGTGTGTCTATTCGATATACTTGTCATTTCTTTTCGAAGTCATTCAACAATTGTCTACTTTTTGAAGAGACTCACTCACTCAATTGCTTCCAATTATCATTTTTAATCAATTTCAAATCTGATGCTGATCATCAATTCAGCCGTGTTCTCTAGATTTCTGTCACAATGACATTTAATTAATTACTCTCGTGATATCATGCGGTCGGTGGCATCCATTGATCAAATCTGCCGCTTGTTCTTGTTTGCGAGGAAATTATTCATTATATTCTAAAGATTACAAAATGTTTAACTCTAATGAGACATTCCGAAAGCGTGCATGACGTTGAGGAAAAATGTGCGTGTGACAAATCGCGTCAAAGTTAGGACAAATCCACTTGTTGTTGGCAGACCGACGACATTCTGATTGACGTTTACAGCGCATATCTGAAACTTGCTGCGTGTCTCATTAAACAAGAGAAAATTGTTAAAGAAAAGAACGACGACGACAAAAGAGGAAAAAACGGTAAATTTCAAGTGTAAAACACATCTATATTGGCACACAAAGAACACGCGAAATCTAATCGATTCATCTGTCATCGAATTTGTTGCTCAAAGATAACTTTCTTCTCATTTTCTTGCTTCTATGACCCAAAAAAAGTCATTATGCGCTTGGTTTAATTCACACGTGTCACGTCAATTATATACCTATAGAAAAGATTCTCTCTACTTGTTGATAATGATCAAATTCATTTTCTATTTATTCAACGATTTAAAAATCTCTCGACGTGTGTGTTAGGGTTACTAGGAAGGATGGAATATATTGTCGAAATAAATTGAAATGATAAGCCTTTAACACGTATTCGTTTCTTTTCCTCGTATGATTTGATGAAGAAAAGAGAATGACATTCGTTTTTGTTGGCAATACATCTGTCAATAAAAACAATCATCAAGACATTGTTTTTTTTCTGTTATTTAAAAGACGATAAGTAAATAGATCTATGTGCAGAAATTCTCTCACCAATCTCCTGATCTACATATTCAAATTGATTGAGAAACTTACGTTTCCTCCCCTTTCGATCGGTTTATTTCTGTTGTCTTTTTTACTTTAGTTGGACAAATAAGTCAAAGATCTGTTTCTTTTACCACTAAATCTGACTGATTTGCCTAGGCAGACGATGAAGAAAAAAATGTTTCATATCCGATGGTTCCTCTTTCTTAATCCCCAATTTCAACATTGTTAGTCAATACACTGCCAGTAAATCTTCTCTTCTCTCTTGCCGTCAATGTCTCGTATGTGTGTGTGTGTGCCATACCGCTCTCTGACATGTCAGAAGAGAGACGAGGAAAAAATTGACAAAGCTGATTCGTCGAAAAGAAAGAGGAGAAAAAGAAAGAAAAAGAGAGATTTCTTCTTTTTCTCGACTTTTCAATTGAGATGAACCAATGAAAGATTTTCTTTTGCTCTTTTTCTCTCTCTTTCCAACCACTCGAAATTAAGTTGATCGATGATGATGGTTGGTAGTGCTCTTTCATTCGATCTCGACGCCTCGCGCTTGATTTACACCTCAAACACTTGACGTTCTTGTTTTTTTTTGCTTGCAACCAAAAACTTCAACGCAGATGGATCTACACGAAAAGACTCTGAATACAAAATCATTGAGCAACAACGGTATGTCATATGTTCTGTCTTTACTTCTTCACCCGCCTTCTTCACTACTCATCAATACATTCAGAATATGTATTCCAGATCGTTTCTTATCTAGCCGATACGAGAGTGCGTGAGCAGATCTTGTCAAGCGTAAATCGTCC